CAATGCTAGTAGAGCATTTTGTCTCAAAGCAGTGGTGGTAAGGAAAATTGAAACCACTACGAAGTATCAAGAGCATGAATTGTCACAACGTTCTGCTCTCATGCTATTGCGTTCCTGTGCTATTGAGCTATCGATTTCGCCGCAGTTGATTTTCCCCCAACGCTTCTGGGGGCTTTAAACAATACATTTCCTGTCAAAGAGGATGAGTGAGGAATACCACGACACAGAGCCACTCCGATAGCAGAGTCATGGCATTTAACAAATAGGTGCTCCGAAGCTCCATACGAATCACTACAGCACAGTCTCCCCTCAACCTCTCCTCCACCATGACATTCAAAGCATTCTGAGTATTGATCTCTTTTTTTAGTGGCATTAAAATAAAACGCAGGCCAGGTTTTTAATGGGATGAGCAGGATATTTTGACTGCAGGTATTTTTTTTCCCCCAGAATATTTTTTGAGACTCCAATCAATTAAACTCACTCAAGACGACCTAAAAAGGACACCGAGCAGTCCCCCATTCAGAACAAGCAGCAGACAGACAAGGACTTTTGAAGTGTGTCTAGGGCTTTTGATAAGGTTTGGGAAATGTAATGAGACAGCAGTCTTCTGTTCTTCCCCTCCCTAGGGGGCAGTATGAAATACTTTTTGCCAGTTTAATTAAAAACACAAAAATACTTTGTTCATTTTGACTCAGCACATTTACAGTGACCTCCTCAAAGGGTCGGCATGGTTCTATCATAGGGCTAAACAGTTCTGATTCATTTAAATCATGATGCTTTGAGCATAGCAGTTTATAGGAGTGCAACAATTAATCGACTCAGTCGACTAAAATCAATGACCAAATTAGTTGGCAACTAATTTAATAGTCAATTAGTTGGTGACGTCATCACGCGTGTTTCTTGCACTAACTAGGAATGTTTTTCACATTGCCACCTACTGGAGAGTTAACCAAAGCACGACAGCAGCCTCAAGAACAAAAATTGTGGGAGCATTTCACGCTAAACTCTGAAAAAAGGTTGTCAGTTGTGCTATTTGTAAAGCCAACCTCAGCTGGCATGGGAGCACATCCTCCATGCTGGAGCATATTAAGAGGAAACACTAACTGAGCGATTCATAATCCCTATAATTGGTTATTCATTTCAATAATCGATAGATTATTTGACTATCAAAATAGTTGTTTGTTGCGGCCCTACAGTTTTATAGAAGTTTTAAGACTTTTTTTTAGGACTGCTTTGATTCATTGACTATGTTGACATTATAAATGCATCAATTTGCACATCCCTTGTAAATTTAGATATATTTTTTAATGCACTTCTAGCATCATCTGGGCTTATTTTTAATGTGCTCTTCAGAAAAGTGAAGCGAATATTGACTGAGAGGCTGCTCCTAACCCTAACCTACAGACTGAGGAGCTACTCAGTCCATATTCACAGTTCCTTTCTCATGTGGTGATGCCAGAGAAGCTGCTTAAACCAGAGACATTGAACATGCTGGTGTTTCTGAAAAGAAACTTGTTAGTGTGGTTTGGTAGTTATTCAGGCCCCACATCAGAACTAAATCCTGAGTGGGGCATCCGGAAATCACAGCCGGGCAGAGGGGGAGTGAGTGAACCACTCAAGCTATGGTCATCATCTATTGCCAAACCTGAATGATAGCAATGTAGACGATGGTACATATGGCAGTGAATTATTGTTTATCTTGGAATTAAATATTTTTAAAATGGCAAATCTGAACTAAACTGCCACAATGTACAGCCTTGTGTACGCTCCCTGGTTCCATTTTACCCACCATCTTTTTTGACTGGTTATCTTGTGAAATGAGACACATCAGGAGAGCTTATCTCGGTCACTGTCATGAAACCACCTCAAATCATGTCCAAATATATTGAGTGTCATAATCATTACACAGATAAACTGCATTTATATAATATAGTGGATCAATTGGAGCTCTGTGCTACAGAAAAATGTTTGTTTTTCATCTTTAAGTTTTAAGCTGCAGTGTGTCCACATATCTGTTTCTCATTTCTGATATTTTTCATGAGAAAGAAGAGTTCGTATTACTTTTAACTGTTGAATCCCTTAGTTTTATTGATTTCCTTGTGAGGATGTGAACCAAAACAAGCATTATGTAGCTCAAGTAAAAAGAAATAACTCAACTTTGTCAATGTGTTTATGAGATGAAACTGCAAAAAATATATTTTGTACAATATATATGTTTGAATAATAAACTTTAAAACACAGACCAACAACAGCATACTAATTATTCATGGAAAAGTTGTTGAAAAACCTTGTTTACAGATTTAATGTCACAAATTACCATTTTAAACATAAATTGTAAGATACTTCACAGCTTTCAGTTGCTTTTAATTGTTACTGTGGTGAAACAAATCAATAATTTCTCAGAGATCTAAATATTTATTTATAAACATTAAAACAAATATTTATGAACATTAAAAAATCTCAACAAATCTGTGCCTCAGCTGTGTTTTTATTTTATGTTTACTTAACATTTTGCCATGACCCTAACTTGCCTTTGTTTGTTCGAAATATGGCAAAATTACAACGGCAAAAAAACAGGCACTGAATCCTTAAACGATTCAAAAATAATTTTAAATAAAAACAAATTGTTTTATATAAAACAATAGACTACATTAAACAATAGACTACTAGCTGTAGATAATTGTTGAACCTCTTTAAACATCCTCAGTGAACAATAGGGTTTTTAAAAACTGCCCATTTGCTTACACTAAACGCCTGACATCTTTTTTGTTTTTATGGTGCTGTCCCAGAGATCATTTTTGAGGAGGGGGTGGGAGCACATGTTATGTTGTGCATGCTGGGAACTGTACTGCAGCTCATGGTAAAATTGGGCTAATATAAATATAAAATTTAAATAATTTTGTGGCCCGAATAGGATTGTGCCACAGGCCTGACTTGGCCCACGGGCCTTGTGTTTGACACATGGGCTTTAATGAAGTAAAGAGTTAAAGGTCTCTGAATGTAGCACTGGTGTTACATTAGTTTTGATGAGGTTAAACTCTTCATTGGAAAAAAAATAAAATATAAGTGAACTTCATACTGTCCTACAGCTTTTTCTGTTATAAATGAATCATTTAGAACCATCAAAGTATCAATACTCTGTATAGTGATTAGTGAAGAACATGCATGAGAAATGTATTGCGGAGCACCTTTTTTAATATGACCTTCTGCAGTACTGTATAACTCAATTTTTAAGCAAGCTACCACATAAACATAGGAAATATGCTAATTACTCTGGCCAGAATTTAGAAGTGGCACGGCTAAAGCATTCATCCGTCTCCACAAATCATAATTTTTGTCCTTATCATTGTAGGGCAATCTCCCCAAACATTTTAATTAAACTGGAAACAAATCACCGTCGCCATCTGAGACCATGCTAGCAGCAGCGTAACCGAATCTTAGATCAACTTATTGCCGGTTAACGAGCAACTGAGGCTTGGCAGCTCTCTTCCAAGTAGTTGAAGTGCCGTTCTCTGTGGGTAGTGCCCCGTTCCTTGTTTATCCAGTGCAGCACCCAGATGGATCCTTCACACAGGGAACATGAGAGGCAGCAGGACACAAGACTGATTTTGCTCAGATCTGATTTACATTTGACACTGATGCTCAGTGGAGCTTAGACTTTGCTTAGCCAATGTCCCAGACGCTGCCTTCCAGCACACCTAATTCAAGCTGCATTCAAATGCTCAAACGGCAGTCTCTCAAGGGCTATTAGCCCACACTGTAGAATTCTCAGCCTTGACACTTCCACCTGCCTCCGAGGCCTCTGGGTAAAACTTCAAGCAAACGCATGCGGAGTTCAAGATCCTCTTCCTTAACAGGCTGCCGAAATAGACCATATCAGGCCCCTGAAATTACGCCCGTCAAAAAGCCCAGCAGATTCATTCTGGCACATTCGTATGCGGCTCGAACAGAAAAAAAGGTGATGAATACCGAGCCAGTGAAATAATGCCATTCCTGTAAGATCTCAAGCCTCTGTTTTTGGTAGAGGGAAAGAAGAATAAGAAGGAGGAAAAAAAAAGAAAAGAAAAACAAATTTAACTGTGACAGGCCTTCATTGAGTTTGCCAAACCGACCATACTGCCTCCACAATGCCCCCTACATCACGAGTGAGGACGTGTTTATTCGCCGAGCGTGAAGTTAATGGAGTTCAGCCAGAATCTTCGCACAGAACTCTCAGTCTCTCTACCTCTCTCTCTCTCTCGCTATGGTACCTCTCACAATTTGCCCATCATTACAAAACTTAGAGAGGAAAAGGAGTGTGAAGGGTACTCTAGTTCAGCATTATAATTATGGTGCAGCTGCCAGAAGTAAACAGTATCGCTTTCTTTTGCAGTCCATTATGTTCTAGGTATTTTCCAAGTGAGTGTAAGGTACAAACTCCAAAGTACTAGATAATCCTTTTAGGTAACATGATAAGTTCCGAGACAGTTTAACTCAGCGTTGTGCGGTATAGTGGTATTAAGGTACACTGCTGTATTTAAAAATTTCTCTTCCTTGTCTTAACAGCCAAATAAACACATTCCACCTACCCAGCATGTCTCTAATGACCCAGCTTGTATCTAATGACTAGGTAACCAATCTGAACAGTAGGAGGGTCTGAACAGTGGGAGGAACGGAGCAACGTGTTTTCAAAACCATCAGTGGGATCAATTGAGACGCCACTTCATTTCTGCTGGAGGGTCTAGCAGGGAACATTACCTCGAATATTACCTTCCTGAGCATGCAAAGAGAGCTCCACCGCGTCCCTGTTGTTAGATGAGCAGGATTAGCCCCTGTCTCTGCTTTCGCTATTGATCAGAAAACAATTCTGCAACAACATCCTACTCATTCAACCTGTGTTATTATCCTCAGCCCTAATTTCAAACTGATTATGCTCTTCTTTTAATGCATGCTACGGTGCCTGAGATCAGGACAGATAGCAGCGTTCTGCTCCCAGTCATGGTCATGGTCTGTTTACTCACCATATTGAAGGGGGCTTCTGTGCCGCTGATTTCTAGAAAGTCATATCTGTCCTCCAGCTGGAAGTCTGTGAAGACCAAGGCGATGGTGTCTCCAGGCTCTGCCAGGATGCTCCACGTGCAGTCCGCGTTGTTCTCGTACTCTGAGGGAAAGTGGGGACTGGATATGGTCCCTGTTGTCCCTCTCAATGTGCCCCCACATGCTCCTTCAGCTGACCAAAACAATAAAAGAAAGAAAGAAAAGCCATTGTAGTATGTATTTGATATCATATGGTTGCAATGTGCTTAACAACTGACCTCTTTTTATGTTCTATAGAGAAAATAGTTTTGTAATTAAAAAAGAAACATTTTATGCATTACACAGTACAAGTACTAGCATTATACCGCTGCACTGTACCTCTGTACCAACATCACAAAACTGCACGTCATTATTTTTATCTTTATTGCAATATTGGCCATACTGATTTTGCAGAAAGCTGCAAACAAGTCTGCAATAAGTCTCACAAGGCTTTATACTGTGTGCTGTGAGCATCTTGACCAATAAGGGTTGAGGATGAGTGTTTCTGTGGGTGTTTTGATGAATCGAAGTATTCATGTCATCCAGCAAAAGTAAATTTGGTTAAAAAATAATGCAAGTCAGTCACCATATTACCTTATAGACTGAATATCTTGCAGGCAGGATATGCAGGATTATATAACGTGTATATAATTGGAATATTAGTATTTTGAGTGTGTGTGAATGTGTATGTCTGTGTGTCTGCCCTGTGATGGCCTGGCGGCCTGTCCAGGGAGTTTCCTGCCTTCTGCCCAACGACCACTGGGACAGGCTCCAGCTCCCCCTGCGACCCAGAAATATAAGGGGCTTAGATAATGTGTGTGTGTGTGCGTGTGTGTGTGTTAGTATTTTGTCCATATTGTGCAGCCTACTCTATACACCATGAAAAAATGGTGAGTGAAAAGTAATTTGTATACAAAATGATAAAGCAAGCAATGCACCAGGCAGTGAGAGAAACTACAGTTGAGTATACAAACAGCTACAAAAAATGGTAAAAATAAATAAATAAATAAAAAAGAAAAGATGGTTCTTCAGGGGTTCTTTAATAAAGCAAATGGTTCTACATAGAATCATTAACACTCAAAGCACCCTTTGCATGATTAAAGGGTTCTTTGCATCAAGAAAGCGTCCTTCAGATTGCTAGAAATTGTGCTGTAGATGGTTCTGTTACTGTTATTATATCAGACTTGTGAGAATAGAAGAACTCTTTTTGGTGCTCTATAGAACCCTTTTCAAAAAGATTCCCTACAGAACCATATACAACACATTCTCTATCAATCTGAAGAACCATTTCACCATGCAAAAAAACATTTAATCATGCAAAGGGTTCTTTGAGTGTGCATGGTTCTATATAGAACCATCTTCTTTCCTAAAGAACCCCAGAAGAACCATCGTTTATATGAGCATAGGCTAAAGACATTCAGTCTCAATTTTTACAACTACTCTGCTTTGCTCATATCAGAGGTCACTTTAAAACAGTCGATTAAAGATGGATTTATTCCAGCTTTAATTCACTGTATCAGATTTCTGGTAGGTTCAAAACTTTACAAACACCAAGCTGACAGCCTCTCTAAACAGTCTGGAAGATTTCAGAAATTGTTGTAATGACTTTTAGAAGCTTCTGATTGGCCAATTGTCATAATCAGGAGTTAATTAGGGGTGCACCTGTGGCTCTATTTAACCTTTAGAGTCAGCGTCTTTCTTGTTCCAGATAGCACGAGAAAATTCAAGCAAGCCAGTTGAGACCTCTGAAACACGAAATGTGGATCTCTGCAAGTCCGGATCCTCCTTAGGCAATTTCCAACTTAAGGTACCACAAGTATCTACACAAACAACTGCATGCAAATATAAAAATCTTGGGATGACTCAGACGCTACATTGTTTGGGAAGGAGGCACAAATGAACTCCCAGGGCTGAGTGAACTTTGGTCTGAAAGGTAGAAAAATGGTATGTTGGCAAGTGAAATGATCTTAAATGTAGTCAATATATCCGATATCTCTCATGTTGAGATTGTTGTAAGCTTATTATGAGATTATTTAACTTACACCTAGACATTTTTTACTGTTTACATATTTTTTTTTTCCAAGTAATCTCATTTTCTCATTATATTGGCAGATCATTTGACTTATGTTAAGAAATATGCTTGAAATAATAAGCAAAATTATCAGCCACTTTAGTGAGATAAATTTACTTGATAAAATAAATTAAAAACAGTACAGAATATCTAGACATAAGTTAAATATCCTTATAATTGGCTTACAACAATCTCAACATAAGAAATATATATCTGTTTATGCTTTGTAATGAGATAGGCAGTTGATCAGTGTTCTCAAAGTACTGATATGCTTTGAAAAGCATATTGTGACATAATATGGTGTAATCTATAATGATATTGATGAATATCATGATTTTGCCCACTCCTAGGCCCAATCCCATTTCACCCCTCACCCCTCCAACTTAGCCCTTAGCTCCCCAGTTTGCGCATTTTCGCCTAGGGGTATTTTTGTTGAGATAGAGGGGTAGGATGAAGTGTTAGGCCTACATGGCCCTCCAAACGGAGGTTTTTCAGAAGCACACTCCAGAGTAAATGTAAAAACGGCAAGATGGCTGAGCAAGTGATCTATGAAACCAACAAATCTGTGTATTTTCTCAGTTAAAAATTGTGATAACCACTGTATTATCATAGTTTAATGCAATTTCAATGTATTATGATCCTTTTCTTCATAACAAGCACAAAAAAAATGCTAACAATATGCTAACGTCTTGGTAGCTAGCTAGCTAAATTTCCCGTTCCACCTTAAATAGTCCAGCAGTTCTGCTGCCTGAAGACCAGAATGTAACTGCAGCACCATTTAAGGTGGAAAAGGAAAATTCAAACAAGAAGCTGGCAAATATCTGACTTCAGCTTCATATCACTGAAGAATTAGGGGTGGGTGACAAATATTTGCCCCCTCTTTGAAGGCATATGATTCCCTAAATGTAACTAAAGCCCAGCAGTGAGGAGCTGAACTTTACCCTCCTCTGCTGTCACTGCAGACCAACAGGGTCACTACAGAGCAGCACTAGTAGCTGTTAATGAAGTAGTGTTCTTTTCTGTTTGAGGATCCCATTTTGTAGGGAAGATTTCAATCACTACCCCTTGTAACTCGGTTCCAAGAGGCAAGGTGACACTCAAAAACAAGGGGTAGGGGTAAAATAAATGAGATTGGGCTCTAGTACAGTACCAATCAAAAACGTGGACACATCTGACAGAATATATGTTTCATAATCTTAAAGACAATTTGATCTACAGGCTTAAAGCTGAAATGTGTGAAACAGATAAATATAGACAAATGTAGACAGGTGCTTTTCAGCAAACAAGGTAAGGACCGTTAGAAACATGTCCCAGGTGGCTCCTCATGAAGCTGCTTTAAGAGAATGATCAAGAATGTGTAAAGCTGCATTAAGACAAAGGGGAGCTACTTTGAAGAAACTAAAATATGATGTGATTTTGATGTTTTTATCACTTTTTTTGGGCACTGTGTAATTCCATATGTGTTAATTGACAGCTTTGATGTCACCACTATGTAGAAAATAGCAACAACATGGAAACCCTTCTATGAGTAGGTGTTGTGACTGGTACTATATACAAGTAATAGTTACGAATCTAAAAATATCTTTTTGTAAAATTATGTGCAAAATTATATATACAATTTCTGTACATATCTTACCTCTACAAAACGGTGCTGGGAAGTCCCATGATGCACCACTCCCAGGGCTCACAATGCACGTGAGCACTGCGTGACCCTCCAGTATATATCCCATCACGCAGCTGTAGCGGATTTTATCCCCGATGTTATACCTCGTCCCATGAATGATTCCTCGAGGAATGAGCCCCGGATTTCCGCATGTGTGACTGGGCAGCACTGGAAAACACAACACAGAGAAACATAAGACATGCGTAAGTGCATGTTCCTGGCTGGGTGATGGTGCTCTGAGAGTGGAGGGATGAACACAAGCATGTGCCATTCACTGTCCGGTTTGTTCTTCATGTACTACCTCACGCTCACTCACTTCTTTGGGTCAGATCAGAGTCTCTTTTCATCTTCATACACAGCCAGAAAAAAAACAATTCTCTAGAGATTTCAGGTTCCATGAGAATGTTTATGAAGTTTTCACATCTGAGCCTACTCCAATACTCTCAGCTGAGACTGGAGACTGCTCAGACAAGGGAGACGAACAGCTCTTTGTTTTTCATACAAATGCAGCGTACAATGCCCAGTGAATTAATAACAAGCTCAAGTCTGCACATATATGTGCATATAGTTAATGCAGAAAGATTTTAGAGCATTTCTATTGGCCCATTCATGAAATTTTAATACAATATAAAGGGCAGCAGATACCCCACCCACCCCCCCCACCCCAAAATGGAGATACAAAGTGTAGCATACAAAGTAAGTATAAATATATAGTATCACAATACAGTGTCTATCGATACTGGTGATATTGGTATGCTCACACCCAGTGTATAAAGAAGAAAAAGTGTTCTATAACGCCTTTTGTAATTTAATTATTTCATATATTTTCATATATATGCAAAACACTTAAAAAACTTAATGTGTTAAGTTAAATTAACACATCCTGTACACATCCTCTACACATCCTCTCTATTTAAATTTACAAATTTAAATATGATATTTTTCTGTAAACTTTAATAGACAATATCTGTTTATCAATTCAGCATGTCAGAAAAATAATTATCAATAAATCAACAAGTAGCAAACTAACCAAAGCAACAGCAATGTGGAAATCTCCAGTTCCGTTGACAGTAAAGACAATATATAACATCATGCTTTATGCACTTTATAGATATATATTGTTGGTACATGGTGTATATCTTAATTATATGTTATTTTTTAAAATGTTTGAAATATTCATGAGCATGTTGTCTGTCCATTTGCAATAACTTAGGTTTTCATGCCTTATTTCAAGTAAAGCAATATCACACATGTAAACATTGTGAATATTAATCTGGGAATAATGCCACACCCCACACTTTTCATCTCTTTCTTGTGATGTCAGCACTGAAAACCTTTCAGCTGGTCAAAGCACTTTTGGCAAAAGAGTTTTAAAATGTGCTTTAAACAACAGTTTGGAAAAGGAAACTGTCAAATTGTTATTTAGGCAAAATCTGTACTTCATATCAATGAAGATGCTTTGATGAAGATGAAGATGAGAGCTGAAGGTAAATATACCCAAAATATGAAAAAAAAAGATGTTTTTGGTATTTTTCTTATTTAATTAAAATGTAGAAGCAAAAATCAAACATTACTCAGTACACAGAAGCAGCAAGATGGCCTCAAGCATTTAATGGTCAATTTAAGTTTGTCACAATCTCTAAAACGGTTACTTTATATATAACAAGAAAAGATTTTGAAGACTTTATTCCAACTGATTTTGACCAGTTCTAGTTCCCCATTGACCAATAAGTTTTTGATATGAGTGAAAATAACCCATTTTATGTACACACTGCAAAGAAGACTATTGCTTTTTTTAAAAAAAAACCTGAGAATATGACCTACAATAAGATGTACATTAAGATACATCAACATTTATATCTGACCAAAGAACCTTTCCTTAATCGGAATGGCAAAGAGAGAGTGAGAGATGAAATGTAAGGTCAGTATGTGCTACATGTAGTGACGGTTCTGGATGAAGACTGAGCTTCCCCAGCACAGTATTCCCGAGGGCAGTGTCAAAGAGCATCGCTGGATCCTGTCAGAGTGGAAACAACTGTGTCAAAGGCAAAATTCCCCGGAAGGCAAATCAGCCTTGGGGACTAGTCTGTCTAACGAATGCTGGGAGGGAGGGATCATTTTGCCAGCTCATATGTGCTTCAAACGTCCAGCCTGTTATTGACTGAATATGCTGTTTGTTATGTGACACTGAAAGAAGATGCCAGTAATCAAGTCACATAAACGTGACGTGCCTAAAAGTGGCACAGTGCTGTATGTATAACATAAGAAACTGAAGTGTGTGCACATCTAAGAGAGATTAAGGGGATGCTCCAATGCATTTCAACCTAATCCCTATCTGCTCCATCTGAAGCACATGGTTGATTGCCATGGACAACAATTTTAAAACATTTCTCATAAAACTCATAAAAGAAAAGAAAATCCACTGATTTAAAACATAGAATATAGGCCAGTGGGCACACGCTGAAAGATCTTGGGAATCAATCACTGGTGCAAGTATGGTGGAGGGGTATAGCAGAGTACATACAAAGGGTTTACTACAATATGCAAACCACTGGTAAGCCTCAAAAACAGGGAGGCCAGATTAGGCCAGATTAGCCAAAAGAAAAAACACTTAAAAAAGAGCCTGGACTGTTCTGGAACAACATCCTATGGGCAGATGATGATACCAGGATGATAGAAAGAGACTAGTAAGGAGAGAAAAAAAGAAACTGTTCATGATTCAAAGCAGACCACCTTCTCTGTCAAGCATGGTGGAGGTAGTATTATTGGCTGGGCATAATAGAACTGGTTCTCTTGTATTTATTGATGATGTGACTGCTGTCCAAAGCAGAAGGATGGCTTTTGAAGTGTATAGGGCTATATTATCTGCTCAGATTCAGCCAAACCAGAACTTACTGGATGGTGCTTCACAGCGCAGATGGACAATGACACAAAGTAACCCAAGACTTCAAGGCAAAAAAGGGGAATGCTCTGCAATGGCCAAGTCAATTACCTGACCTCAATCCTATCAAGCAAGCATTTCACTAACTGAAGGTGTAACAAAACTTAGAACACTTCAAGAACAAGCAGGAGCTGAACACAGCTGCAGGAAAAGCCTGATAGACCACCACCAAAGGTGGGTTCTGGTGATGGGTTCCAGATTTCAGGAATTATTTTCTGATTATCTTAGTTTGTGCAATCACTTTTCAACTCCAATATTCTGTGGTAGACAGCTAAAATAACAATAACTTTGTTGGCATTCAGGTATTTATTTATAAAAATATGGCAGACCAATTTGCAGCCTTTGGAAGCCCATTTCAATCATATTCTACAGATGCAGCTGGAAGAGACTGGGTTGAAAACCCACAAAATACCACAAAAATGACATACCAAATACCACTACACTGATTTTTAATGACTATCTACACCTTTGACAAAAACATCAACCACTCTTACATATTTCTTTCCTCATATTCTAAGGTATCCACTAAAATGCTAATGAAGGTTCGACTTATGTACGCTTCCCTTTAAGAATGTACTTCTCACTGTACTTGGATGAATGTCAAAGCACTTTTTCCTCCAGTGCATTCTTTGCATACTTTGTTTTGAATTTTAAACCATGAGAGTCAACTCTTCCCAACGAGGCACGATACATCTATATTAAGACACTTTCATCCCCAAGATCAAGCCGGAGAACGTGGGAAGATGTTACAAAGTTTTGGCGCCCCGGGAGAAACCTAAAGCGATAAACCAAGAGGGCTGACATTTTCAAGCTTCGTCAATTAGCATAAGAGCTAAAAGCTGATTCACCTGGATTTACAGATATACATTGCTGGTTTCTCAAATACCACGTGTCTCAGAAGTACACCGCTTTCTTCTTTAACAAGTTTCTAGCTGGGTCAATGAAATGTTGGCAGGCACTGTTTTACACCACGGAAACGAACGCAAACCTCAGATGCTAGCACCACAGTTCTCATATACAGCAGTCTGGGCTTCAGAGTGGGCTCAGACTTGGATGCAATCACACTGCTAGGTACCAGTGCTAGAGAGAAAAACCCTGTCTGTCTCCAGCTCTATTTTAAGCATTTAGGACTTGCGATTGATTTAATCTGCAATAATTCATTTTGGAAATGTCTCTCCCCTGAGAGATCACAGGCAACTGGAATAGCCATGTTCATTAATCACGCTCTCAATTGATGGTGTCTTCTGCCGCACCGGCGTTGGAGGGAACATACAGTTTGGTAAACATTTGATTTATTGTCTGATTAGCGATCGGTGGCAAGGAATGAGGGTCAATGTAATGGAATTTGAACACCGCAATCTGTGGTATTTCTGTTCGGTTCCAAAAGGCACCCATTTCATTTGGCTTGTCAGGGAGCAATTATTCAGAAACACCTCTTTTTATCAAGCACACATCTCCGTATGCCCCCAACTTTTATTGCTCGTTACGCAGATATCATAATTTCTCAAAAAGCTGCCAGCGAGACCGAAGGCGGGGCTTCCCATATGTTTCTTGACACTCGGGCCAACAAATGATTGACTTTCACTCTGCCTAAACAATCATTTCGGTCCTAATGCTCCTCTGATGATAGCAATTGACCAGTTAAACCACTTTGTGTCTATCGGTAATTTTCTTTGACTGCTTCTGTATGTCTCTCGCTAATAATGCTGTCAGGAGTCCCACTGTAGAGCTGGGTTGTTTTGAATGGCAACCCCAGCACTGATTAGTGCCTCAGCACCTAATTGCACCTCTCTTCATTTCCCTGACACAGTGAGAGATCAATAGGGTAGTTACGGGCTGACACAGGCTTGGGGGCCTAATTCGGGCCGGCTGAGCTTTTTTCCAATTTCCTTTCATCAGGATCAGGCCATCGCCATGGCGCTGCTTGGAGAGGCACGGACGAGGCAGACCGAAGCGTCCTGGCAGGAGAATGACACGGATCAGAGAGTGTGGAGAATCGCAGCTGAGCTGAGGGCTTTGGTGGACGGGCTGCAGAAGTGCAGAACTGCGGGGGGGGAAATACAGGTTAACACTGGCGGCCAGCGATGAAGGGCAGCTATTCTGCAGGAGGGTGCGGAGAAGGGGTGTTCCTGAATACAAATACATAATGGGTTCCATCCGAATATGTGCTGCCCTCTGAATATTTCTAATTATATTTGTAGACTTTTTTTCATACACTTATAAACTT